TAATAAGGGCATGCTGACACATGCCAAAGTCAGTGACATGCAGAGCATGGACATAGCCTGAAATGTTACACTGAATGCCATTCTACTGTTCTAAGTCAAGAAAGTTTCCTCTTTATTTAAGTTTATTTAAGAAAAGTCATGTTAATATTTACTGGTTTAGGCCACATTACCTATTCCATAAAACGTTCATTTAACTTTCTCTTATTTAAGACTCATGTTTTGAAGTCACAAAAAAGAGGGCCAAATTGTGCCCTTAAAGGTTAGGTTCCCATATAAATCAAAAAGATCTTCACATGAACATATGAGAATTTTGCTTCTTGATAAAGGTTATCTGATGATCAGTGAACAATATTAAGAGTTTATGAGGCCTGCACATTTACCCATGCATTTCAATAAAAAATATTATTTCATCTTGAAAATATAAACATTTGGTTAAAAACATTGGAATGCAACAAGCTTCAGGAAAAAGAACTATTCAGGCAATGATTCATATGCATCTTGCAGAGGTGCACATTTTGATACATAAAAATGTATTAAAAAAGATTTTTAGTTAGTTTTATATATATTTTTTAAAGTGCATGTATAATCCTGTAAATAATATAAGTAATCAGACTGAAATGAGTGAATAGTAATTTTATTTTCATAGTATTCCCACTGTGATGTCAAATGCAGCTAATCAAGGGCTTCCAGGTTTTTTGTCACCATGATCATCAAAGTTCCTGGTTATCCTTTATGGATACCGCTGGAGTTGGCAGCCTGACTTCCAGGAAATGCACTGAATGGAAACCCTAATTTTATCTAGCACCATCAGTGTTCAGTGGACTCCTTTAGGGACTCTTGGTCTCACTGGAAGACTCTTGAAGTCAGTTTACTTGAGCATTAGGGCAGCCAGTCGTTCTTTTCATAATAGTAGAAATTGAAAGAATGTGTATTTAAAATTGTTTGAGGTTTCTGGAAAACAACATTTTCAAAATTATTTTAAAAAATTCTTAATTCTAATCTGGAACAGAAGGGTTTCACTTGTAGAAGAGGAAGGCCCCGTGTTCTATGGGATTTTGGGGTTGGGAGTGCTTGTTTACAAGGAATAAGTAGGAAGAGGGAGAGAGGTTTGGCACCTCCGTTTGCCCTCCCTTCTCTTTGTGTGTCATACTTCTCTGCAGCCCCAGACTGCCACAACTCTGTACCTACAGGCAGCAAGATTGATGTCATAATTATTTCAATCTATGGAAATCTACAAAAAAGTTACCAAGTCAATGTATCGATTTTCCATTGGTTTTATATTTGCAAAACTTTTCTTTTTGTAAATAACAGGATTCCTATGCTACCTGAAGAAAAAACAATAACAATGTATATTGGCAAGACCATAGTATATAAAAGTTAAATACTTGGAAGTATTGGAGTATTGTTTGACCCCCAGGTGTAAAGATGCCAGTAAAGGGGAAATGAGTACCTGCTTTACGTGTGCAAGCATATTTTTAATCCCCTGTTTTGAATACAAATTCCAAATTGGTAGAGGTTCATATAAGTCATTTTACTAAGTAGCATGGGTTGGATCCACTGCTTAAATAGACACAAAGCAAATAAATTATTCACATCTGCACAGGGAAATCTTCTGTTTCCTTCTATTTTAAGAAATACCTTCTGCTAGCCAACAGACAAAATTAACACAGATAAATTATATTCCATGTTAGTATGAGGGTTATGCAGAGGTAAATCTAAAATATCTCTTAAAATCCAAAATGAAACTTCTGGTTCATTTTTTTATTTTTTTTTTTTTCTCTAATACAATCTAGGTCAGCTTCTAAACAGAAAATACCAAATGAAAAATAAATGTTTCTGCATTTCTGATGAGAAATATTTTAATACTTTCAAAGGAACATATAAAAGATATTTGAAAAGTTTCCTTTCTTAGAATAATTCTTTAATTATTTCAATTCAAATTCATATAGCTGTGATCTTCTGGAATCTTTTTCACAGATTAGCTATTGAAAATTCGAAAGAAAGAAGCCCTTCTCTGTTCTCAATAGATCACCTGTCTGCATCACATGTAGTGAATTGACAGATTATGATATTTAAAACCTTCTATTTAAAAGCCTCTTTGTCTTTCCTAAAGTGTTGTAGTTTCTGTCTAATAATAGCATTCTCCATCATAGCTGTTTGTTGTTTGGGAAAGAAAAAATAAATTATATGAATAGGATTCACTCATACACATAAATGCTGCTGTGACAAGCCATTGGTAAATCTGACAGGAAAGAAAATTCTTGATATGCTCTTGTAATAATGCACTTTTCTTTGGAGGAATGAGCATTACAACGTGGAGTGTTACAATAAGCTTGTAGTAGAGATTAAAGCTTTCAGAAATATGACAAAAAATATTATAAAGCAGCTGCACATCAAACATCATTTATCTCAAAACATTGAGGAAATAATGTCTCTATGTATATAGCCTTTTGCATTTCCAGGAGCACGCTGCAGATTGCACAGCAAAGTCACTTTTCAGTGCGTTGAAAGCTAATGTTAACAACTTCTCACGTTCAGAAACTAATTGCCCAAATGTCTTCATTTTAGACAAACTGGAAGTCATTTATGTTAATGTAGTTCATGCAAAACAGTGATGAAATGAAGACAAAATAACTCTGAGATATACACTGTCATGTATTTTAGGGGAAAAAAAAGTTTATTCTTCAAACAAAATCATAGTTTCTTGAAAGATATTCCTAAATAGATTTTTATTGTCCACCTGCTGAAAAATTTCAGTCAGGTCTGATAGTGGTTTTGATGTTATGAAACCAGAAATATTTGTGACTTTCCTAATAAATGTAGTTAAGAGCACTTTTGTCTTCATGATTATGAAGTGGCAGCTGAAACCACTGAGAAATGTTAATATTCCTGGAAAGTAGGTTATAAATTGCAAAAATATACTCCTGAAAAATATGGAATGGAAATATCCAATCATTTAACATTTATACGATTCACTTTCCTTTTAAATTCAAGGTAAAGCCTCATTAAGGCAGTAGAGTACATTTGAATACCTAATGTCTAAACTTTATAGTTTATAAGGTTTGCAAAAGGTTTTGGAAACTCTTCTTCTGCTGTCTTATAGCCATCAGAAGTTCACAAACTGCAACCTGAAAAACACTGATGTACATGATTAAATAATTCATGATATTTAGATTCTTTCCTGGTACAAGGAATTACAGAACCTTCTATTAACTTCTTCCTATAGAGTGTCAAAAATGAAAGAAAATGGCTTAGCACTGACAGAAAAATATAGATTTTTCTACTGCTCCTATCCATATGTATCCCATGTATGCTTTTTTTTATAGGTAGTTACAAATAGAGTTTTCCTGTATCTGGACACCTGCTTTTAATAGTTTCATTTTGTGTTGCCAAAATAATTGTTCTCCTGTTTTTTTTTTTTT